TGAAGACAAGCTTAGGAATCTCCAAATGATGACACAGGGAACACAAGCATTTGCTACAATATTTATCAGACCTTAAACAGAACGGAGTTACTCCAAAGGAAAAAAAAGATGGGCATGAGCTGTGAGAAAACATGACGCCTGTCAGCAGGAGGATTAAGAGTTCAGTCGATGGGAATCTGCATGAACACTGAATGTTTGTCTGTGGTGAGCATGCTTTTTATTTTTTTCATTCTGCTATTACATGAAACAAAGTCTCCAAAGCAACAGTTGACCACAACAGTACAGTGATCTGTACACTAAGCATTATTACACTCAATGTGTTTATTTGTTTGTTTTTTTTACTATTATTTTTTTGACTGTGATCAACAAAGATAATCGCTCTGTTAAACACACTGTGCTTTTATTTATTTATTTCTATGGCTTTTGTAGAGCAGTGGTCTCAGATAATCTGATCGGTGATAACTAAGACGTCCTATTCAAAAACTAGAACTGGTCAGTCAACCTCTAAAAAACAGGGCAACTCTGTACAACACTTCCTTTAGGTGACTGAGCAAGGTGCTGCAACAGTGAAGGCATCACTGGCGTTACTACGGTGTGCCTCTTACTACCTTGTTCTGCTAACTTGAGTTAGCTTTTCTGATCCAAAATACAGCAAGTCATGTCTGTAATTTCACAGACTGCTTCACACCCCCCACCCCCACACTCATTGGACTTGATATGGCCCACATTTCATGTCTAGTTTGAGACCCCTGGTCTAAAGAGGGTGAGGTTATTTTTTCCTTCTACATGTAGTAACTTATGTCTTCTTTTCTCAACTCGTACTTATGTCACACTGCAGATGCCGGCCTGAATATTTTTAGAGGGATTCAACCTCTGTAGGTAAACATCTGCCCTCTAGTGACATGAGCTCTGGACAAACACTGTTTAAGTCAACAGTCCACTGCTAAAAATAACTGGCCCTGAAAATCAATACCTGTAACAGTGGAATACCACGTGTGTGTGTGTGTGTGTGTGAAGTTACACACTCTCTCTCACACGCGCACACACACTTCTTGTGCAACGTGAAGGTCAGTCACAGTCCACGTTAACATGTGCCTTGAAGCCATATCTTTTAATGTCACATCAGCACAATGATTTTTTTTCTTAAATGTATAAGTGTACTGTGTGTTTTAAGCTTGTTGTGTATCTGTGTGTCTACTAAACAATACAGTGTGTTTAAGTCTTAAACCACCTTCCTAACAAAATATTATTTTTGTTTGTTTCAGATGAACTTGCACAGTAGTTTTTATTTATATTTTCTGAGTTTAACATGCCTTTACAGGTTAACTTCAGGAACACGTTTTTAAGGCCCTTAAAGAACATCCCAGCTCTTCTGTATATGTTTCTTTTTTATCCTGCTCTTCATCGATGATGATCCTTAATTACAGATAATGTTCTGTCAATTTTGTTGGAAATGTTTTTGCCCATTCTTGTGCCAAAAAGTTGGCTACTAACTGATTTCTTCATATCCCTGTTGACCCTCCTTTAAACAGTTGTGGTTGCTGCCTGTCCATTTAAACCTGTCCATTTAGATTTGATTGTCCAGATTTTCTAGATTCATAAATCTAAGTTATAACTTTGATTTTTGCTTTCCTTGTTAGTGACGACTTAAAGCTTTTTGAACCAAGTTTAGTCTGAACAGGCATTACTGTTACAACACTGTGGTGGTTTAAGACTTATGCACACACACACTTTCAATATTATATATTTATTATTGATGATCATGTATGGGTTTCAATGATGTTTATACTGTGTAAAGGGTCCGTCTTTTAAGAAAACTCTTAATTTTCTTTCTGCATCTGTTTGTACTTCCATCACCTCTCACTTCAACACACCATGACCTCCGGCACTAACACCCACAGTACGATCCTGTTATATTTGACAGCCTGTTAGTTCTTCTGCCACACAGCTCAGTGAGGACACAAGTGACTTGACTCATAATTACAGATAGGAATCGGCAGTTACAGTTACTGGACACAAACTCACAACCTTCAAGCTGCTCCCTGCACATCTCACACTCAGCTGATGTCTGAAAGTGTAATACAGTGCAGCCTGTGACTTATGTTTACTCAATATTTTTTGACCAGTTAATAACATGGAATATCTAAAGGACAAGGTGTTTGAACTCCCAGCAGATATTCCTTATTTAAAAAGAGATGAGTTTGTTCCAAAATATCTGTCTCGGGAAGAACCAGGTTAATTTAATGTCCAGTGCATAGCAGCAACATCAGCCAAGGGTTTTATATTTCAGCTGCCGTGCTGAACATTTCCACAGACACTCAACATTTACATCGTTTTTTTAAACTCTCCGTGACATTTGCAGCATCTGTTTTCAGTCAAGGACTTGTTGTGGCGTGGACTGCATGAAGAGAAAGTCCAGAAAAGAGCAGTTTTCATCACCCTGTTGGATCAAGCTCTTGGTGCTACCAGAAAAAAAACTCACTTGAACTATTGGTTCAGAGGTTGCTACTGAAAATGAGTGACTGACGCTGTTGCTCTAGCCTTGTTTGTGCAGAAAAAATACATTTAAACGCTGCTTGATTGACATTAAGTGGAGAAGAGTGCAGCTCCAGCAGATGTTGACAACCGCAGTGATCACAGAGAAAAAGAAGAAGAAAAAAAAACCATTATAATGTTTACAGTTTTGGTAGAAAATTGTAAACGGCAATAATGACTTTGTAAAGTGAGCATGTCAGCAGAATAAACAAAGTTTATATTCAGAAACATTGTCCGTTGTTGTGCATCCCTGAATGGTACACCAGTAGGAGGCAGCAGTGGACCAGTCTGCTGTGTATAGGCTGAGGCTTTTAAAGAGCTCCTTTTGCTGTATATTAAAAGAAAACAAAACAGTCGGTGCAGTATAAGTAAAATTGAAAATGTACAGTATGCTTTAGAATACTTTCTTAAAAACAGCGTGGTTGTGATGCATTTTGAATTGGGGAGGAAGAAGAAAAAGAATAAAATGACGGTGATGAATATNTTGATGTTGTCTTTGTCCTTCCACTCCAACTGTCCACATGCACTCAGGTTCTAATAACCTCAAAAACAGCATCGTACATACTTCTACAACGAGTCTAAAGTTTGTTTATGTGGGCTGTGACAGTTTAGAAATATACAGAGGTAAGACAGTGGTAATGTTTATCTACACAACCAATATCAGTCCTGTGTTTAAGGTACAGTTTTTATACTTTTAGTGATTTCTTCACTTTGGTAATTCTCTGTGTAACTCATTACTTTACAGATCTTTATCCAAAAAAGTAATGTTTAAAATGCGTGAGATACAGTATGTGTTACTGAATTGACTGTCTCGTAAAAGTCTTTTTTGGTCCCTGCGGGTCACCGTAGTTGGGGTCGCACAGCAGCCGTTGTTGTCAGAGTTTTTACTGCGCTGCTGAAAAAGTAAAAACTAAAATCGCGCTGCTACGGCTTTTTAGCCCCTTTCCTTGTATCTGGACGTGAGTGTAGGTTATTTTCCCGTCGCGTATTTTGACTGGTAATGTGAATAAATTAAGTATTGTTTTCACTGTGAGACACTGAGAGCTAACGGCTTAGCCACAGTGACAGCAGAAGCTAAAAATACACTGGAGTGTTCAGTCACAGCTGAGCAGACTGACAACAGGGACACTGGTAGGTTAAACACACTACATACTGCTGTGTCTTTTCTGTCTTTTACATGTCGTATTTGTCCGTTAGGCTACGCTTTTTCACTAGGGTTTGGTCGTGTATCGTCATAAATGTAACGGTCCAATTTATATCAAGTTCAGTTCACAGGTAGTCGTCGTCCGTCTGTCGATTATCCTTTTAAGTCCGTGAAACACTATCTCAGAAGACGGTTCCAGAGTCATTGTTGACGGAATTATCTCTGTTTGTTTATGCAGAGTATTTGATTATAAATTAATATTTTTATATATACTGTCTGACTCATATTTCACGTTCCTTCTGTTTTCTTTATCTCCTCTTGCCTACCAACTCCCAGCAGGCCTTATTTGAGCTCCTTCCGTACATTTTCACTCCCAGCTTGCTTCTACCTAACTTTCTTCCATAAACTGTTAACATTGGCCTTGTCACTTGTTTCTGTTTTTGCGTCCTTCCACCACATTTCTCTGCCCTTTCTTTCCTCCATTTTACTCACGTACATACCACTCCTCCCCTCCTTCCGTCCCTCCTGTCTGTCTTACCCACCATTCTTCCTACCTACTTGCATTAAATTAGGTGACATCAATTAAACTTGTTTTAAAACAATAATTGGTGGTAACAGTTGAACTTCTGTTTCCAGTAGCACTTTAAACAGCAGATCATTATGGGCAACACTAGTGAGAGAGCATCTGCAGACCGCCATGGAGCCAAAGCCCAGCGTTCAGACAGCAGTGGCAGTCACAAAGACCAGGAACCCAGCAGTAAGATGGTGGACAGCACCGATGACCCCAACATTTTCAACACGCACGGACCAGAGACGTCCAAGGTAATGCAAGAAAGGGCATATACAAAGGAAAAGCCCAGAACCAATGCTCTTTGGTTAAATGAACCATCTCATTTTTCTTGTTATTTTAATTGTAATTCTTTCCTGTCAGGCATCTGGAGAGAAAGAATTCACCCCAGATATGGAGGACCTGGTGAAGACTGGCCCTCAGGCTCGACCCACTGTGATCAGATGGGCGGGTGGAGGGAAGGAGGTGTACATCGCTGGTTCCTTTAACAACTGGAGCACAAAGATACCGCTGAATAAGAGGTGCAGAGGACGGTTGGGGTTGTTATTATTATTATTACTATGTTAAAAAAGGCCAGTGTTGCATTAATACTCTTAAAACTCTCTTCAAAGCCACAATGACTTTGTTGCAATCCTGGACCTGCCAGAAGGAGAGCATCAGTACAAGTTTTTTGTAGATGGCCAGTGGGTCCATGATGCCTCCGAGGTTCGTAATATTTTTTGTCCTGTGATTTCCATGGTTCAATGATTATATCAATGTTGGAACAACCACCTGTTTGAGAATTGTTCTAATGAATTAAAAACTACCAAAATTATAATTACTTGTACTTTTTCTCTCTTTTTTTGCAGCCTGTTGTAACCAGTCAACTCGGCACCATCAACAATCTGATCCATGTAAAAAAGTCTGACTTTGAGGTGTTTGATGCCCTGCATGTTGACTCTCTGGAGTGTTCTGACTCATCCGGTGAGTTCAGAAAAAGAAATTATGATAATGTACTAAACAGGTTATACAAAAAAGCATGTATTTTTGCCCTACAGCTGTGTTAATACATTCAACAAAAATATAACATAATTCAGATTCATGGAATCCTCCCTGTGTGTGTGGTGACAGATTTGTCCAGCTCTCCTCCTGGTCCTTATGGACAGGAACAGTACATCTTCAGGCCTGAGGAACGTTTCAAAGCCCCTCCGATTCTCCCTCCTCACCTTCTTCAAGTCATACTCAACAAAGACACCAACATATCTGTCAGTATTCTTTTTTTTTCATCTCTACAAACTGATGTTTATAAACCACTCACTTTCTCATACAAAAGGTTTAGAACCTGTAAAGTTATGTTTTGTGATTTTTTTTTTGTCATCTAGTGTGACCCTGCTCTGCTGCCTGAGCCCAACCACGTCATGCTGAACCACTTATATGCTCTCTCAATAAAGGTGGGATCACTACACACAGCTGGTAGGAATCATTTCGATCTCTCTCGGTGAGCCCTGACAGCAGGATCTCTCTCTCTCTCTCTCTCTCTCTCTTCCTCTGCAGGATGGAGTCATGGTACTGAGTGCAACCCACCGATACAAGAAGAAATACGTCACCTCTCTGCTCTACAAACCCATTTAAACCTCACCTGGGTTGCTCCACCACCACAGTGCTTTTAGAGGGCAGTCCCTTTTGTATTCTGATGATTTCTTTTTTATAGACATAGCATTTCATTAAGCCAAATCTTTGCACTGAAACGGGTTTACAGATGAGCTTTGGTCCAGCGGCTTTGGTCCGTTTTAATGGTTGCACTTCAGGCTACGCAGGGCTGAGAACATTAGTAGCCAGGAGTGTTTGTCTGCGTGTTCTTAGGGAGTGGGTTCAGTGAAAACCACACACTGCTTAGAGACTTATTAAAACACTGTGTGCATTTCAGTCATGCTGCACCAAATCTATATACATATATATATTTTTGCATGTTTCTGTGTGATTAGATGTTTATCTCGGGTGGGTTATTGTACGTTGCATTAGGAGACAGTAGGATCTGAGGGAATTTGACTCAGAGTTTTCTAGTGTCTTTGAGTTTTTTCTACACTGGGTCCTTTTAGAATCACACAATCTTGGCTTTGAATTTTAAGTGCAATAACGCTGAGGAGCAAAAGTCCTGAATATTGTTCTGTAGGCAGCAGTAAATAATTCTGACGGTGTCAGCGGAAATGACATTGAATACTGTAAGTTTGATTGTTCTTTTCCAATCATTTCAATCATTATTTTCTTCTAACTGTGGACTGGGGTCGGAGGTCAATGTTTAGCTCTGTTGCCTTTATCTTGATAATGTATTGTCAGCACCAACCGTCCTGTGAGCAGGAGCGTCTCTATAAGCTTTAACTATGCAGCGGAAAACTCTCAGATTAGTTCTTCTACCTTAAAGAAGGTAAAGTGAACATGCTGCACCCATGTGTACTGTCCATACCTGTTACATGACTCCTTGAACACGCTGCTTTGCATGTTTTGAATGTCCTGCAGTGCACGCAGGCTTTACAAACGTTACAGTGGGAACTTCGACAGGCATTTATAAAATATAGGGCTACGGTGATGTTAAAGTTGCCATACATTTCAATGCAAAGTGGGTTTTAGTTTGTTTTTTTTTCTCTCTTGTGTCACTTATTGTAAGGGCAGTACAGAACTTTAAAAGTGGCGTCATGAACCCCTAAAGACTCGTCAGTATTCTGTGAACGTTGAGCCTGTCTAAAACTTTAGGACTGATGTGCTCAATGAAGTGTGTTACTGTAGACAAAGACTCTGCAGAGGTAGTGATTAAAGGAACTAAAACTTGAATTTTAAGGTGTTCCATGAACGTTTGTGTACAAAAGAAAGCACTGTGTGAACTTAAACTTTAAAAATAAAGAGAGTACAAGTACTGTAGTCTGAGTTGTGTCCATTTCTTTTTCTGAAGTGTTACAGTACAGATATGTTTTATATTTTTAAGAATTTGAGGATTTGAAAAAAACATTGATAAGATTTCAACATTTAATGTGTTTGGTTATGTGAGCAGATTAAAATGATGTCACAATGATAAAACTAGACATTTAAATCCAAACAAGGTCAACAAAAGGGAAACCCTAATTACTAATATGTTTTATTTATTTATTTTTTCAGTCTTTTTCCAAACCTTTCACTGATTATACCTGTGCCATCACAACACTCCGTGTTAACTGTCATCAGAGACAGGATTCATACGAGTCCTGTGTCGGCCTTCTACTTCATTATACACAAAACCAGAAACAACGCTGCTCTCCAATCACATAAAAGCCGCATCGTTCAAAAAGCACTATATACATACGCAACTCAGGGCTTACAATACAATGTTTCCCTTCCTAAAAAAAAGCAATAAGGCTTTGTTTACGCTCAAAAAAGGTGCTTTGTGGATCCACTGCTCCACTGTCCTTCCATTGACTGGCTTTTTCCTTACAATTCTGTAAAACTATTCCAATTCAGAAAGGCAATCCCAAACATTTACCTTCAATGAGATACTTGGCAACTTTTGGCTTTTTTCAGAGAAAACTGAGCGCAAATAAAACCTAATTTGGCAGATTTCAAGTCAAGGCCTTTTCTAATGCTAAAGAAGCTCTCAGGCAGAAAGTGAAGGCAAGCGAACAGAGGTGAACGATCATGTGACACGTATATGTTATGTCTCGAGCAGAATTCTCTCCAACAAACATTGCATATAATTCATACACTGGAGTGAATGTAGCAAACCTAGGAGTGATACAGTGATGTTTAACATCAGAACCGTGTGGATAAATAAAGCTATTGCACAGCTACCCCAGATAATCAACTTTGCAAAAAGCAAATGTTGGATACTCACACTCACTCATGCACACACACACACACACACACGAAGGCAGGACATTTACAGCATCAAATGGCCAAATGTACAGCGAGAAAAAACACTTCAAACTAAATGTGCAATTAAACTGATACATGTGAGCAAATGACAGAAAACAAGGGGACCAGTACCACAGCCAAAGTCTGTATGGGCCAGGACAACCTCAACACCTTTTTTGCCACTGCCATGGGAATGTTTACACAGCCTGAACCAAAAATCAAACTCAAAGACTAAGGGAAAAAAAGATCACCAAGTTTTGGTCCAAAATAGTAGAGAAAAAAAACAAAACTGAACCATCTGTCTAACGGTTACCGTCTCTGTGGTTCCAAATCCTCTTCAAATGAGAAACACCCTGGTGTCAAACCAAAGGTCTGTCAGAATTCAAGAATGAGCTGAACCAGTGAGGTCGGTACCACACTCTCTGGTTCTCCATCCTCACTCTGTAGTCTCGGCTGTTGTCTATGTATTTTCTGCTCAGTCGGCTTCGCATTCGCATGGACGAGGCAAATCAGTCAAAGTGAAGGCAAATGTTCACGTTTCAAACTTTGGCAAGTATTGGCGACCCCCAGTTCCACAGCTCAGGTTTCGACACTTTCCATCATGCATCCACACTCTATTAAAGAGGGGAAAAAAAGCACAATCCCTTACGTCATCATGATGACTGTGACTAATTATTCAGTGTCAGGCAAAGAAACAATATCGTGGTGCAGCATAAAGAACCGTCATTATTGCACATGCTCGGATGAGTTCTCCTTCACAGGAGTTTGAATACGCGTTTAGCCTGGTTCCATTTGAGCACTTTTCACCTCCTTTTATTTAAACACTGTATAGTTTAAATCCCAGCCGATCATCAGAACTGATGAACTTAACTCATCCATTTCAAGTCTTAACCTCATTTTCAAATGAACTCTAATGCCAAAAGTATCAGGAGTTTAAAACTGAGGCTTGTGACTGGAAAATGGAACCTTCAACTGGCTTCTGTCACATCCCTTTTAGGCTAATGGCTAACACATCATTCAAAAGCTTTACAATCACAGACATAGAGCTAACACACAGCTACACAGCAGTGATCACCTGCCTCTACAGTCCTCCACTGTGTCCACTCAAACATGATGGACGTGTTTTTTTTTTTTGCATTGCATTTGCCAAAAAAGTCCTTAATATAATGTGAGAGCCATAGAAGTAAACAGTTCTGTATCAGCTGACTGAAAACGTCATGTCATTGAGTGACTGGTTTTCAATCTGACACACACATAGACATGTGTGCACGTGTGCAGAATTCCTCCCGCAAACCTTTTAAAACATGCATGAACAACTGCCCTGTCCACAGGCTGCCAGTAGAGGATGCTCTCGTTCACTGATAGAGGAGTGGAGAACAGAAACTCAAAGTAAATGTGAGGCAGATGATGAAGAGACATTTTCTACTGGTTATAAGCATCTTGACTTTAAAACATGCTTTTTGCGGTAGTGGTTTTACTTCATTGACTTATAATCTTACCAAGATTATGCTGCATGATACAAAACGCTTTTTGGAGATGTATTACTATCATTTGTTGCTAAATTATGCTAATCTTGCTAATCTTTTTTTTTTGCAAATTGACTTAATCAAATTGTATTTACTCTGATGTGAACACTGACATAATTCTACAAAAAAAAAAAAAAAAAAAAACAAACAAAAAAACCCCCACAATAACCTGATCCAAGATCAGTATCTAAGAGCATCTTCAACTGGCTCCATCAGTAGGACACACATCCTTGATTCCATCAAGAGAACATGTCAAGCTCATTCTTCTGTCACACACAAGGCAAACTGCTGACTTCATTACTCAAAGACAGTAATTCAAGGGATTTAGTGGGGGGTGAGTGAGAGGGGGTCCGGTAAGGCTGGAGGTGCAGGTCAAACTGTGCACATGTTGCCCAGAGGAGGTGAGGGGAGCAGGGAGCGTAACGCCCCCTCATGGCAGAGCTAGAGGCGGGGTGTGGAGGGGTGTTAAATATGTCTTGGCTGTTTTAGCACATAGAGGTCAGAGGTGGTAGCATTGAGGCTGGTTCTTTAAAGAGTCTAAAGCAGGCATTGACTGCTGCGCTTTCTTGTCGCTGGGCGCTGACTGGCTGCTGCTCCAGAAGCATCGGTGCTGGTCTTTAGGAAACTGCGATCAGCAGGGCGCCCCCTGGCAGCAGCTCCTGGGTCCTCAGCTAGAGTTAAGGGCACAAACAGAGAGGGAGGGACATGGTGGTGGGAGTTATTTTTTTGGGACAGATGATTGGAGCAGATGGATGGTTTTGATAATATAATGAGTGGATTAGAAAACAACACAGTTGTTACTCATCACCCATTGTACAACATATTTAAATATTGTCTTGATTTGTTTGTCACGTCTCTCACCAGCTTCAGTTCCAGATAATGTTAGTTTCATAGATTTTAAGCCTATTTGGAGGAAAACAAAGAAAGACTCCAAAAGATCCAGCTGAACCGTCCAACAGCAGCAGATGATTTTTATTTTATTTTATTTTTGGAAATGGCTTAAAACTACTAACTTAGAGCAGTAAATCTTCAGGAAAATGTTTTATGATGTTGTAAAGTGAGCTGGAAGCAGCATATTTTTTGGGCTGATTTTTAATTTTTTTGTAAAAAAAAATGTCAGGCAGTACAGCAAGGTGTACTGAAGATGTACCTAGTCACATTCTTGCTTCCTAAAAATACTTTTGTCTCTGAAAGGTTAACTTAGGATCTTACAGTAAAGGCAACAGGAAGTTTTATATATTTTATTTATTTTTAATATTTCAGTATATGGTAGTTCAATATAAGAAATATTCTCATGATCATAAAGAAATTAATTTGAAAAATTCAGTATTCAATATTTATGATTTTGTGATGAACAGAACAGATATGTCTCTGCACCAAGCAGCATCAGTTGTTCATACACAGGTTTACGCTGCAGTGTTAGCCAGGTCACACCAGGCTCCACCTCTCCAAAAGTCCATTCTCAAACATTACATCAAAGCTTGCAGATGAAAAGCCAAACATTTAGTGGAATATTGTGCAACTCTCACACGCACACATGCACACACATGCACACCCCTGACCTGTGCTGTGAATGACTTCAGGGTTTGTGACATCCATGAAAACACGGCAGCAGAATGAAGGTGTCAAACATGTTTGTTGTGTATAATCCTGTGACAACATGCGCAGAATGAACCTCTGCAGAGTGTGAGGTCACTGTAGGGGTCGAGACACTGTAAATAGACTCTTCTACAGACAGTACACAGTAAAAAAAAACTGTGTTGATTTTAAACAAAGCTGCTACTTTACTACCACCTAGTGGTTCTCAAACCTTTTTCACCAAACTTTTGGCTGGAACCCATGACCCTGAGATTAAAAGTCTCATGGTCGATTTACTGAGCTAGCCAGGCTGATAAGGGAGTCCGAGTACAGCCTACAGTACGCATACCCTAGTTTGAGAACCACTTCAATAAGCACTCCACAGTTTTTAGTCTTGAGTCTAATCAACATCCCACAGACAACAGTCAACAGGATGAGTGTTATGGTGAACAGGATGGCGAAGCAGTGACATCAGCATGATTAGACCACAACAAGTCCACACTCAGGTGAGAGCCGCCTCAGACAACAGAGAGTGACTGCTGTCTGGGTCTGAGACAGTGTCTACCTATTCACAGAGGTGTCAGACAGTTACCAGTGTAAGGAGAGGAAGAGGAGGAGGAGGAGCTGAGAGACGAAAGCCTCAGCTCATTCTTCTGGGGATTTTAATGAAGAGGACGTGAGGAGAAGAGAAGAGGAAACACACACAGACACAGAACAAGGAGACCAATTGAGACGACAGAGCTACAAAAGTGTTGAATTAACACCACAGATATCAAGACCTGAAGATGTCCAGGACGACAGAGGGAGGAATGTAAATGTACAGTCGAGGTTCACATAATACTGCCAGCTGAGGAACGTAAACACAGATAAGAAACGTGGTCTCAGAGGACAGGAGGAGTCACTCACCTCCAAATTTGTCCTGGCTTTCTTCAGCACATCACGAGTCCTTGATACTGCAAAAACCAGATACTTCAATAAAAACTCGACAGACCGTAAAACAGGAAGTAAAATAGATCTTACTTACTGTGAATATTTCACCTTTTCTTGTGTTTTTTAATATTTGTTGTATTTTTGCAGCTTGATACTCATTAAACTTTGGCCAAAACTTCAGATTTTGTTTTGATAGTTCTAAGTTGCTCCAGAGTGACCCAGTAACTGACACACTTACACTGACTGACTATAAAGTGCTCCATGCTCTCCTTGGTGCGGCTGGTGCTCCTCAGTCTCTGGATGGTTCCCTTCAGAACCTCCTCCTGCTCTGACACCCGCAGCTTCAGGGACAAGATCTCCTCCTGCATACACTGCTCCTACACATGAAGAGAGTGACATTTGGTACCACGACATGTTAGTGAACAAAAATACTGACACTCGTGGTCCAGACCTTCTGGAGGTTCTGGATTGCTGGTTCAGTACAGGGGAGCGCTGCCCTCCAGAACATCTTCAGCAGAGACGTAGACTCCTCCAGGATCTGCCTCAGAGTCCTGGTGTTGGACAACAGACTCCTCACACACCCAGAGTCCAGAACCTGGACACACACAGAGGATTACAGTCCACATAGACAAAAAAAAAAAAAAATATATATATTTATTTATTTTCAAACGTGAAAATATTATGTGGTAAAAAGCCGTATTTTATTTTGCATTTCACTCTTTTAGCTAACATTTCTCACATTATCTAAGCTACTTTTAGTTATCTCTCAGTGCAGTATAACTAATTTCAATATTCCTGTGCTAAAGTTCAGCTATCCTTTAACACGAGACAAAAATGTGACAAAACTGCAAATCTTTACTCAGACGTAAGTGCAACAATTCAATAAATAAATCAACATTTAAACAGCCCAATATGCAAAATTCAGATGCATTCAAGCACCATTCAAGGTGACCTTGGACATTTCTGTATGGTTTGATGATTTTGGAGTACTGTTTTGAGGAAATGACTTCTTTCTCTTTCTTGTTCTTACCATTTTGTCACTCTTCTCATTCATGTCCAGGCTGAGACAGGCCTGCAGAGTGGTCTCCATGCGCTGGATGAGACTGCGGCCCTCCAGAACCTGCTGCTGCAGAGCACTGAAATCATCCATGTGACCGATGGCGTGGCGGCCATTGCGATTTGCAAACGATCCATCGGGAGCCTCCCCCTCCAGCTCTGAGTGAGGGTCCAGAGAGTCTACTGTGGAGTCAAAAGTACATTTTCTTCAAAATAGCACCAGGAACTTAAGCACCAACGTCAGAAGTTGTTATAGTTCCAAGCAATGCACTCTCTTAGGATTGACCAACAAACTGAAGGCAGATTAGGCAGCTTTATCATGCAGTGAAGTCACACCATTAGCAGTGCTGTGGCTGTCGTCCAGGTCAGAGTAGGGAGGGCCAGGTGACCCACAGTTAAACAGACCAATGTCTCTGACCGGTGGAGACGGAGCAGGGTCTGTGGAACACACACACACACACACATACAAATAGATACAAACAAACCAGGCTTAGACTCCAGGCCAAGCACACACCACAGCACACTGTTACACAACTCTGAAACTCATGACACAACAGGAAGTGTCTGTCCTACCGTGCAGCAGCTGTCGCCGGTAGAAGTTTTCTCTCTGAGGACTCGCGGTGAGAGCAGACAGGGACGGCGTCCGAGGAGAGCCCGGTCCCAGCTTCTGCTCCAGCTGCTTGTGCAGCTCTAGTTGTTTGAGAGCACTGTTCTCCTGAACACTGGACTGCAGCTGGGCCCGGAGACTCCTCACCTCCCCGAGGAGCTCCCCCAGCTCCACGGGAAGACCACACTTGTAGCCTGACAACAGAAAGTGTAAATGTATGTATGTCTTGAATGTTTTTGCCACAATTAAAACGTTTGGTGATCATTAAAGTTATTATTCATATTATTAAATCCAATTTACACTATTAAAATAAAGTTTTACTCTTTCCACTGGAAGATGAGATCACCAAAGTCTGTGTTAATATCAATTCTGACCTTTGCTGGTTTTGGTGTTGGAACACACTCGGTCATAAACCTGCAGCTCGCTCTGTAGGGAGTGGATCAGCTCCCTGCTCTCACACAGCTGCTGCTGCAGCAACGACACCTCGTGTTGGAGCCTGGAGATGAAGAGACTATTTATTTAAAAAGTTAAAAAGAGCAACAGATCAAAAATCTTGCAGACACACCGACCTGTTGGTTCTCTCCTGACTGGTCTGTCGCTCCTTTCTCAGTGTGTGGATCTGCTCGCCCTGCTCCTGACTGTGACTCTGGAGACGCCGCAGCTCATCCTTCCACTGCTCAGCCTCCAGCTCTGCCTGCTTCAGACGTGTCTGTGCAGCGAAGACCGCCTCCCTCAACTGAACGACCTCCTCACAGGTGTCTGGGGGGAGGCAAAGTTAACACAGAATCCAGTGACTGGCAGGATAGTGAAGGGATATGGCTTTGAACAATAGGCTTTAAATCTGGTACTGGTAGCTTACAGCAACACGACTTAACCAATCAGGTTGTTTACCTGTGCTGGCCTGCAGACGTGACTGCAGAGTCAGGTTTTCCTGCTTCAGGATTCTGATCTCATTGGACAGCTGAGTGACTGAGTCCATTCCCTGAATGTAGATGTTTGTCGGTGCTCCTGAAGGAAAGAAGAAAAACTTAAATAAATGTGATTTCATATCATGTATTATGGCGGTCCTGTTTAGAAACCCCTCACCTCCTCCTTGTCCCCCACAACTGAGTCTTTCTTCCAGCTGCTGGCGGAGCCTCTCATTCGTCCTGATGGACTCCTCCAGACGCTGACGGAGACACCTCACCTCCTGCAGGTGCTCTTCTATCAAGTTTATCCCTAGAGACAAAGAGGTGAAATGAAGTGCTGTCCTCTGATTGGCTAACAGAGCGGAGGGTGGGCTGCTACCTGTGGGGCTGCTTCCTGGCTGATGTGCAGATGATGGCCCGTAACCTCCTGTTTTCGGTAACAAGTTCTCAATGTCCCACAAATTCACACCTGACATTAGTGCAGAGTCAGATTTCACAGAATGAGCCTCTGCAATGCCACCCAGCTGGTATTGTTGAAATGCATGAGGGGACAGCAGGCTGTAGCCACAGGGGTCGTGCTGGTGGTGGATGGCAGGAGAGAGGGTGAAATGGGGCTTGTCTTCTGGAAGTGCAAATCCTGCAGATCATAGAAAGACACGTGGAAAAAAAACTAAGTGTAAGAAACATGGATTAAGAACGCTGGGAAACAGGGCAGGATAATGAGATGGTGGTTTCAGTTTGAAATGATTTTAGTGTGTAAACAAAAAAAGCTAATTTAATAAATAATTGTACATTTTCACTGTCCAGGCTCTAAGCTCATCCTGTCCAATGATCATTTTTACAATGATATGCAGCTACATCTTTTCAAAGAAAATCTCCAAACACTCTACATGCTTTAGTTCTATTAACACTATATAAAATGATCTTCACACTCTGTGGCCCCTCACCCCTGAACTGTTCGTTCCTCTGTCGGTACAGAGTGTCCAGCTCTGGCCGGACAGCGATCACAGACAGTGCCCTGGGCCGGGGGTCAGAAGTGACTTCTTTACCCCAGATATCAGGGCCAAGGGGGACAGGAAGGAAGGGGGAAACAGGTTCACTGAAAGGGGCTAGAGGAGCCAAGGAGGAAAAGGACGAAATAAACAAAACAAAAAAAATCAAGATTTTTTTTAGGTTCTTTCCAAATCATTGCTTTCTGAGAGACCCATACCTCTGGGGGCCTGACTGCTCAGAGCCACAGGGGCTGAGGAAAGCATGTTGGGACAGCTGCTGGATGACTTGAGAAGTCCATGAGGAGGAGGGAAAGGTGGACGGACTAGAGGAGGGGAATGGAGGATGAAGGAATAATAGAGACACTTGGACACAGAGGAAGAACAAAGAAGTAGCTGTGACAGTACCGTCTGCTCCCGGTCCGTGTCCTGGAACCTGCATCCTGTGCTGCTCCCGATATTCCCTGCCGTCTAAATCAGAGCACAGCTCCAGGTCTTCAGTGGTTCTGTACTCGTCAGACACAAGGGAGGTACGGTCTGATTGGTCAGTGGTCTCAGAGAGGCCATGGCAACTGGATGGCGTCTCAGGACGCTGCTGCAGTTTGGTATGAAGTGACTCTATGATTTTATCTTTTTGTTGCAGCTCCTTGCTTAACCTGTGGGGGCACCAAATAAGTCACTTAATAAGCTTAACTGCTACAAACACTGTAAACATATCAGGTTGTATATATTAGTGACCAGAGATGAGGAATATGCCTTCTGAGTATGAAGTTTAGAGCATTGTTTCCCAAAGACTGGGTTGTGACTCTCAGGTGGGTCGTAAGAGATTTTTTTTTTTTGGGCCGTCTCATATAATGTTTCCCAGGAGTTTTACGAACAATGTCCATTGACTTGGGCCGCGAAGTGTGAGTGTGAGTGGTTGTTGTTCTCTATATACAGTATGTGGACCTGTGATGGACCGGTGAACTACTGTATCCAGGGACTGTGCTTCACCTTGGATGTGGGTTAACAGCGACTTACTGTCTCCTCTCATTACTTAAGGAGTCATGTGATTGGCTCTTTGTCACGTGACATGAGTGCAGCAGACCTACAGATCTACAAAGATCAACAGCCACATGTTAGATGACAATTTAGTGTGGATATAGAGCCATGTTTTGCTGTGTACTGTATATGTATGATCACAGTACAGGCAGTAGTAGGAGAAAACCTACTACTACTAAAGTTTTTACTATGGATTTATGTTTTTGCAGCGTTTTAAAATACTGTATTCCATATAGGGAATGTAAACCTACCTCATAGCGAGCAACTCATGGCCATTTTTATCATCATGGCTCTCTGCACGATCACCTGCATAATGACAAGAAAACAGCAGCAAAGGAGCCCAGTCATTGACTTGTACTATCAGTAAACAAAGGAGTGGTAGAAAGAAAATTGGTGAATTAAGATTCTTCTTACGTCCACTGATCTTGGTGAACACTCTTTGTGCCAGCGCGGTGCTCTGTGCCAGTTGTTCTCTGAAGCTCTGACCCATGTAGTAATCAATATCGTTGGCTCTCAGTAGCTCCTCAAAGGCCTTAAATGTGAAGAGTATTTTAGTGAGTACAAGAAAATATATCAGAACTATCTTCTGAGTCATTTTGTGTTTTAGGCTTCGAGAACCTTTGTGGTGTCTCCTAGGTGCTGGGTGAGGATGTGACACACTCCCTGTCCTTCCCTTATTCTCTGTCTCAGGTGGGAGAGCTCACGAGCTTGTGCCTGGATGAGAGAGTTGTATTTCCTGCAAGAGAAGACAAAACATTTTTTAATCAGCACTAAATAACTAAATGGTGGCTTCAGTCCTGTGTCTGTCTGTCCACGAACCCAGGCCAGGTTGCACATTTTCCCTCCTCTTGGCCTTTTCCCTCCAAGTGGGAGCTCTTCAGCTGGGCCTCCAGTGATGCAACTCGAGCCATCAGTTCTTCCAGGTCTTTGCTGGTTTTCATGCCAGATCGAACTCCCTGAGTGTCAGACATCCAGCCTTCGTCCTCTTCCGCACCGCTAGGTACAGGCGACGTCTCAAAGGCCCAGTTCACCTGGAGGATGTAACAGTTAATGTAACAGTTAATGTAACAGCGGACAGTAAAACTTAAACCACGTGAAGACGCTCATCAGTGTCCCCGTACCTTGCGGTGGGGGCGCTCCAGACTAGAGGCGTAGTCACTGGTGGCAGACAGGGAGCGGACTCGCATCTGTAGCCCCCGGATGACCTTGTGGCAGCGGGTCAGCTGTGAGCGCAGATCCACGACGAGATGCTGGACGGAGGATTCATCAGCTGCTTCATAGGCTGCTTTGTTACCACTGCAGTTACTGCTGTACCAGCTACTGGTCCCACCCTCGTAGTCCTGAGGATGGGACAGGGATGTACACATCTCCAGGTCGTCAAACTCTGGGAAAAGGGAGGTGAATATTTTAGCAGCATCACTAAGATACAGTTTTATATAACAAAACAAAGCTAACAGGTTATTTACACATTTATTTAGTGAATATTTAGCATTCACATCCATGAAAAAAGCATCTTAGCAGAATTATCTTTTGTGGTGAGTGGTCAGTCACCTGGTCTTTTCGGCAGAGGACTCTAATAATCCCCCAATAGATAACAAACCCACCTCTATCCTGAACCCATATGTCACTCTGACTGCACAAGTCAACCCTTGCACTTGAATTTGTCCTTCACCCATGTCACATACTTTTCTGCCACTCCTGATGTCCTTATTTGACGTTCATTATGGTTTCTGTCTCACCACTAAAAAGGTTGGTCTTTCATTATAAAACTTAGTCAGTTTGGTCTGAAGAGTGTTAGACATCTGATTTATGAGATCATTTCTACTGTGTTTTACCAGGACTGCTGGTGTCTTCTCGTTCAGCCTCATTCTCACTGCGACCACAGGTCTCATAACCCAGGTCCTGGAGATCCACCTGCACTTGTTTATTGGCCTGTTGGACTGATGTCTCAGCTGCAGTCAGAAGTATTTCACAGTTATGGCCTCAGACACTTGTTTGTTCCCAGTGCATTTCTAGCTTTTGCCTGTGACTCACTGAGAAGATCTCTGTAGTCCTTCAGCTGTTCTGCCTGAGCTTGGACCGTGGCCTCAGACACCATCAGCCTCTCCTGCAGCTCTCTGTTCTCCTGTTGACTCAGAGCCAGATCAGAGCGCAGGCGGGCAGTCTGCTCACGGAGACCCTCGTCCTTATCCTGCCACGGTGCTCCTGCATCACTCCTGCGAGCAGCAGACTCCGCCTCCTGCAACAGCATCATGTTTATTAATAGCTGTTGTTGTGACAACAACACTTAAAACACTGGAAATAACCTAATGCAAATGCAAAGAGGAAGAGGAGTTTTACATCCATGGTTTTTAATCTGATCACTAGGTAAAAATGAACAATGGAGTTTTCTATGAGACATTTTCTGAAATGAATAAAAGATCAGAAATCATCACAAATGTAGCACCAATCTTTGACCTTTGGATACTCAACTGTGTTAGAATTTGTTAATATTGATGTGTGAGAGACGTTACCATTTCAGTCTGGTCTGTGTGATGATGTGATGACAACATTCCCAGGTCCAGAGAACAAGGCCTTTTATATTTCCCCGTGCCTCGCTCCTCACTCAGACTGACACACACACTACTTTGTTTCTTCACGGGAGTTGGAGATGTTTCATGTTCCTCCACCTCCTCTTCTTCCTCTTCCTCAATATCACAATCTTCATCCTCCTCCTCTTCCTCATCTAACTCTTCCTCTCCCCAGCTCAGTCTCCTGGAATTTTTTCCTGTGTTTTCTCCAAATCCTCCCTGACCTTCTCTCAGAGCCTGGTTCTCTTCATGCAGCCTCTGTAGTTCATTCCTTTGAGAAATAGAGACAGAAATAAAGTAGCTGTTAGGTACAGGTATCTACAAGACAAATACTGTATATTCCTAAGAGCATATATATTTTCACCTCATCTGAACGACAGAAGTGAAGCCATCCCTCTCCAGGTGTGACCTTATTTGATCCAGCTGGAACTCCAGCCCCCTCTTTGCTTCTTCAAGGTGTTTAACCTCAGGGCCGTGCGTCTGAACTGCCCTCATCAGCCCTGCCCTCACATGCCCTGCTTCATGAGGCTTCACAGACACCTAAAAAAAAGTCCAAACATTAAAGTGACATCATTTCAGGCTCCAACTGCAGTTCATACGATCACACAAACTCTTCTCAGTCTGAACGAAAGTGGAAAAATTCTAACCTGAGTGAAGGCCGAGGTTTTCACCGCCACCTTATCATCTTCTTCTATGCTGTCGGTGAACTCATCGCTGCTGCTGTCCTCAACGTCCCGCTCCTCATCCTCTTCTTCCTCCTCTGTGCTGAGCTCTGGAATCACATTGAGAGTACATTAAAAGCTGTGTTAAAGGAATATTTTAGTTTGATTTTATCCAAAACTCTATCCCAAAAAGTCCCGTCTGTTCTGTGTGTTAGTCTCTCCCACTCTCTGGTGTTCACCCTGTACTGCCTGCTCACTGCATCACTACTTTGGAAGCTATGTGACTGAAGGGAAATGTTATGTCATACAGTGGGAGCCAGCCAACAGCCAACAGTTCACTCAACGAAGTACAACCCAGTACAAATGTGTGTGTTTAAAATACTATTTATACTTTTTTAAATGTTATTTATGGCTTAAAAACACTTGCAAACATTAGTCACACAGGTCAAAAAAGCACACACACACACAGAGTACTAAGGGATGCAGACATGGACACTGGTTTGGTGCCAGAGGGACAGGCTGAGAGGAAAGGGGCCGGCAGTGATTTTAAAGGAGAGCTGTTTTCGATTGAACAACCTAACAATACAAAAAAAAAAAAAGACAAAGAGGGGCAGAGCTCCCTTGTTGGTTGGACTTACTGTAACTGAGCCTCATAAAATATAATCCTGTCTTACTGAGAGCGTACTCTGGTTCTTTAAAGGAGGGTGTATTTATATCAGCTCTAAACAAAGTTATGGCGCGCACAAACTCCTAACTAGTTTTTTTCTCTCTTATCAGGACTATGGTGTTTAAGTGTATAATGTCTAATTTATAATGTTATAGTTTAATGAATAATATACTATTCTTAATGTCAAAATACAGTATTCAAAATATAAATAAATCATTGGTACATTACATTTAGAAATATATCAGTGCCTTTAATACAAATGTGTAGATTTAGTGGAACTTCTGTAAAGGAGGAAACACAGAGCTCTGTTTGCTGAAGTGAGTGAGTGTGAGGCCGTTTACACACAGTGACATGACATATGGCTGTGCCCTCTGTCTGTGGGTCCATCTGTCAACTTATCCAAACAGAGCTCAAGCGTGCAGTTTTTCTCATTTAAAATAATTTAAATTTGCTAAACAAACCGTTCTTTATTGGTTAGTTTTGTTGAAATCTCCAAACAAGGTGAGACTGTTTGGTGAAAACACACCATTACACCTGGGTGTTTACAGCAGACCAACCATGCACACAGGAAGAAAAACATGCCACACGATTCATGCATGAGAGAGAACAGGGGAAATTACACAACACAGCCATTAGGACTGAATGGATCTAATAGACAACAGTAAAGTGCCATGGTGTTTATAGGGTGTATTTGTACGGCTAATATGTGGACATGTGGAGACAAACGTGGGGATGAAGAGGACAATACTACGTTTTGTTAGGAACATATAATTAAACTGTAATGCTAAAGAGGGAAAGTACTGCATAGGCTGGGTATTTAAGGTTCAGGGGAAATTATTTTGATCAAATGTATTGAAGAAATATTCATAAAAACTATGTTTTCAGCAAACAAACAGAACATGTTTATTTGTGTTTCATTTTAACATCCATAAAAAACAAGAGTGGACAAAGACTCTAGATGAGAGACCAGGACACAGTTTCATGAAAAGAAACTTTGAGGATGTTTTAAGTATTAAAAGATAAAGTGTTATCACTGGCAGCACGGTGTCATGTGTGGTTGACAGGAAGGCCAGAGGAAAAGAACGTCATGTTTAATTTAACCGCCGTTAAACTACGGTAGAATTCACAAGGCATTAAAGTTACTTTAATGTTCATGCAGACTGGACAGTAACAGCAGGTTTACTTTTTAAAAGTCAGAATAAAAGTACTACTGGTTGTATATAGTGTACTACATATTGACTTTTCTAAATGTTTTTTTTAAACAAATTTCGGAAGAAATTTTAAAAATAGATAGTAGTGAGAGCTATTATCTAATAATCCAGCTGCCAATCACAAACAGGTCCGTTCATATGCACCGTTTTTAACATTTTCTCCGAAATTGGAACGCAATATATCTACAACATAGAGACGTTGAACCAGTGACTAAAAGCAAAAACTTTCCCTTTTAAGAATCTGACAAATGTTTTACAAAGTGATGATTCCAAACGAATGATAAATGGTGGGACGTTTCACTGTAAGGCATGAGCTGGAATATCTTCACAGATGTTAACTTCAGTGAGACAGACAGTCAGGCTGGCTGAGTGACACCAGTGAGAGACAGTACACGGAAATGGCAGCTGGTACAGTACAGCCCCACTGCAAGGACATGTGCAGGCAGTTTTCATAAAACAATAAAAAAAAAAAAAAGAATCAAACATATTCACACCACAATCACTGAACATATTAATAAATTAGACTCGACGTTGCATGTTTCTTCACAGCAGGTGAGGTTAATGTGAACACAGATGCTTGTGCTTTGAGAAGCTTTCTGCAAACTGATGGTCATTTTGACTCTCTCACTTCAACATTTCTCTTAAATATAAAGCTGCCCTTAAAAAAAAACAACTGACCATCAGTATCTACAGACAGCTTCTTCTTACATCAGTACTGAGTGTTAGTGACAGTGCCCCCTGTAGCCTCGGAGGTCTGACCCTGCCTGCCCCCACCTCCAAAGTCAGGCTGCCCTTTGGTTGCCTTTTCCAGTGCTAAGGCCATGTTGCGGGTCCTTGCCAGGACTTCCTCCAGCTGTCCACGGAGTGCCTGCACAGAGTCTAGCTCTGTGTGGAGCACCTGGATCTTCTCTGAGCTGCCACTAGGGGAAGAAGATGATGTCACATCGTCAAAATCATACGAATGTTTTTTTTAGACCAGAGACACATTGTTTTGAATGTTGAACATTTCTGGGGGTGTACAGCACCAGAGAAAATTGGAGCTCTGTGTTATGAGACCTTATCTTTTCTGATGGGCAGTATTTGGACATGCAGTAGTACAACAGCAGAACACTGCTCAGTGTGTAACCACAGTACCTGTCACTCTTGCTGTGCACACGCATCAGGCTTTGGTATAACCTCTTCTCTGCCCGGAGGGCTTCGTTCAGCTGCCTGTACTCAGACATAAGCTGCTCCAGCACACATTGAATCAGGTTGGAAGCAAGGGTTCAAGTTATAAATAAAAAAAGAAGACAACAAACATTTGAATGTGGAGTGAAACCCCAAAATTAAAGGTCAAAACCATTAAAAAGAATACAAATTCCTACTTGGTGAGAACTGATGTTGTCTTCGGTAATGCCATCATTTTGATGGTTGGCTAAAGATAGGCGCAGAGCAGAGAGCTCCTCCTGCACAAAGAGAAAATACAGATTTAACCAGTATTTACAATAATTTGATATTTATTTCTTATGTTGCCAGATTCTGTACCTGAGCTTCTCTTTCCTTCTTCATTACAACATGCAGTTCCTCCTGGAGAACCTTGACCTCTGCCTCACTCTCTTTGGATGACAGCTGCATCGCCTCCTCCTGGCTCTGCAGTAGCTCCTGTTGATGAAATTACAAAGACGGACTGTAAAGATATGTAGGCACATGTGCGTGGTGAAGGATGTCATGGACAGATACCTTGATGAAGGCCTCCTTCTCTTTGAGCAGACTCTGCAGATTCTCCATCTCTCCCCCTACCTCCCTCTCCTTCTCACGCCTCAGCTCACACAGCTCCTGGTCCTTCAGCGACAGCTGTCTGCGCAGCTCCTGCATCTGGCTGCTGCGCTCGCTGATGACTAAGGACATTCTGTAGGAATGGTCCTGAGAGGGAAAGTTGAACAAGCTAACCAATCACAGCAGAGATGCCTGGGACATCGTATTGAAGCTTTAACGTTGCATTGAAAGCCTGTTGGTGGAGAGAATAAGAAGAGCAGCCTTGGGCCTACCTGCAGATACTGGTCTTTGGAGCTGAGGGTGTTGAACAGATCCTGCACCTGTGCTTGATGTTCGGAAGACTGTCGGCTGCGGTCCGACAGCAGCTCCTGGAACAGTTTCTCCTTCAGTGCCAGACGGGCTTTCAGCTCCTCCACCACCTCAGTGGGACCAGCCTGAACTCTGGCCACAAGGGCAGCCGTCAGATCCTGATCCACAGAGTCGGATAAAGACAAAAAAAAATGGTATGCAATTTCCAAAGCTGTTAAAAACCAGCTAAGAAAGAGGAACCTGTGTTACTTGTCTTTACTTTTTTTTCCCTGTGTGTTACCTGTGTCTCCTGGCTGCGACTCTGCAGAGCAGCCTGCAGCTGTTTGATGACAGTTTCCTTTTCTCTCAGAGCACTTCTCTCCTTCTCCTCAGCCTGCTGGCTCAGCCACTGCAGGTTCCTGTAGGCCTCCGCTGCCTGCTCTACCTCCAGCTCTTTACTTCGCACAAGACCGTCCAAACTCTGGCAGACACAAATACAGGTGTGAGATCTTATAGGAGTACAACCCAGTCATTGGTTAAAAATGCGCAGCCATACCGTGATGGTCTCTTCATTGCTGGACAAGATGCATCGTAGACGCTCCAAGTCTCGTTCTTTCTCCCTGAAGGCCAGCTGGAACCTCCTGACCTGACCCTCACTCTCCTCCAGACTGTGGAACTTGTCATCGATAGAGCGCTGCAGTGTGACGAGTGAGGAGAAAGAATGAATTGCTGACATTTTTAATAGCTTTGAAAAAAATAACTGAAGTCTAAAAGAAAAAGATCATGTTTCCTTTCCGTGCTCATAGCTTTGGTTTCCTCAGGTTATAACCAGCAATTAGGTTTTTGTTGTTGGGCAGAATCTGAGTTGCCGTAAAAGAGGTTTTGCTTTCTTAAGGACTTTTCTGTTTTATTTTAGGCAGTGTTTTGTATACAGGGAACAGACTGGATTTGGGCAACAATACCTCAGGCTCAAACCAAACATATCTTTCAGTGACTAACACCGTGGGCTCCAAACACTGGAGAGTTGACAGCTCATGGACATTTGTTTAAAGGATCAAACTTGTAATCTGAGCATTGCTGGCTCTGGTATGACTGTGATGAGTCCAGTGTAAATCAACAATCAAGTGAAAGGCAGAGAGGGAATTAATAGTGTACTAAAAAACCTTTAACATTCATGTTTTACCTCCAGAGCCTTGTCTCTCTCCATAATCCGCTGTCTTAGTTTTTCCAGGAGAGCATCTCTTGATTTCGAGACTCCTGTCATTTCCAACATGTCTGAATATTCCTGTAATGACATAATTAAAATAAATCAGAAATCTGTGACTTTTTCTATATTTTGTCTCTACAGACTTTAAGTACCGACTGCTGGTTAATTACTTGTAACTGTAGCTCCTTCTCTCGCAGACACTGTTTGAGTTGTGCATTTTTCCCCTCCTTCTCTTGCACCACTGTGTGCTTCTCCACTTCACTTTCTTTCAGAGCTGCTTCTTTTGCCTGAAGCTCAGCACGTGTTTTCTGTAGGGCACAGCGCAGGTCCTGCAATATACAGCGCATACAAGAGGTTACAGATGCTGCGTCGTTCAGCTCGCACCAACAGCTTCATGGCACTCTCTAACCTGGTTGTGTTTCTCCGTGCCCTCCCGGTTCTGCAGGGCCTCCTGCAGATCAGAGTTCAGTCTTTCTTTGAACCTCATCAGGTCTTCCCCTTGTCTTTGACTCTGCCTCAGACTCCTCTGAGTGGCCTCCAGCTCCAGGCCGAGAGAGAACAGGGAGCTCTGGACCCGCACCAACTCACTCTGCAGCTGGGTGAGGGTTAAAGTCTCGCCGACTCCTTCTGGAATCTAAACAGAAATGACCGTCAGATAAATGTCAACATTTCTGACAATGTTGACGTGGATCCGTTCTCACCGTGCACTGGGTCAGCTGGTTTCGATGGGCAATTTCTTGCAGTTTGCACAGGGTAGAGTTTTGCCCTTCGATTATCTGATACAGCTCCTGAGCCTTGACGCATGAATCACAGGAAGTAGAATTATTTCCAGACACAGATCACAATTACTTTTTACCTTTTAATGCATTCAACTGACAAATACCTCAGTGTCTTTTGTGCTAATGGACTCAGTGAGGCCCTGAATGGTTCTTTCCTGACTGTGAGCTGCCTGTCGGAGCGATCGCAGCTCACGCTCCATTTCATCCAGCTTCTCCTGCAGCTTCTACAGATGCAGACCAACGCAGATATTAATCTCAGATGTCGTGATATTGAACATATTTATTCATAATAAGGTGTTGTACCATGTTGTTGGCCTCACTCTCTTCGATCTTGGCCTGCAGGGACTGGACCTGGAGCTGGGCCTTTTGCAGCTCGCTGACACACTGACCAGCTGCACACTCGTACTGGTTAAGCTGGCTCTGCTGCTCCTCCACCAGAGTCTGCAAAGAGAAGAAAAGACTGAGATAAGGTCGGTGTGAATAAATACTTTGACTTATTTCCTTATTCTTTGACTACATTAGAACAACAAACCACAGACGTGATTTAAAGCAGTGATCTCTCCCTATGTCTCGACCAGGATCAAACCCCATGACTTATTTATTTGTAGAGAAAATGATTTGATGCTAAAGGCTCTGTATTATTCACAGTGAATTATGTAACACTGTATAAAGCATTCTTGCATATTCATGTGGGTTATGTAAAAGGTTACGATAAAGAAAGAGCCTCTGAAGCACGGGTTGATAATCTTCATGCATGAGTGAGCACAAGAGAGAACATCTAAACAGCTCGGCACCGTACACCATAGAACACGCACAGTGTACAAAAAGTTAAAAGTTAAGTGGCATTACTATAGTCAGCCAATCAGTGTAGAGATGACATGGTGGTCTGATATTGAATCACTTTGTCTGAAGGACTCTGAGTTCCAAATTAGGCCAGTCACTGTGTCTTAACGTCTCCCCACTTCCAACCTACTTCTGTGGGCAAACAAATGTGCAGTGGAGTGTTGCAGCAGAGACAGTGAACACAATCAATCTGCAGCATTTGTTTAGTATTACGATGGTGAAAAACAGTTCTTTCCCCCATTTTCTCTTCTCTATTGTATTGACCTCTTTGTGCAAACGGAGGCCAGTAAATAAGGCCATGCTCTGTAGCACTGTTAATGCCACACACCTAACTGCTCATGTCATGTGTAACCGCAAAGGTAAAGAAGAATAATAATGAAGGGTGAAGCAGTAGGTAAATGAGAGTTTAATGTGTTCTGTGGAGTGAATTCATTGTTTGTATGTCAAACATGAAATCCTGTTTTTCCTGGTTCACTCTGAACTGCAGATACTGCAGCCCCAAGGCAAGTTTCCCTCCTCCACCTACTGCTCTCATTCTGCAGTAGAGGGTGGCTTGTGTGTGTTTTGTTGCTTAAAAATGTAGTCGAACTGCAGATCAATCCATGTTTAACACGTTTCAGTTTCAGTCTGAGAATCCTTGGGGACTGATGATTCAAACTGCTTCAAACATTTAAGTGAAACTGACTTTGTTGTATCTTCAATAGTGGGTGTAACCCTAGATTTGACACCATCAAGGTTTATACCTGATGGGGAGGTGGTGGAGGATACTGTTTATACACATCATCCAACAGTTCATCCATGTCCCTCATGTTAAAATCACGTTCCAGTCTAATCAGAGGGGTCTCCAGCTCGGATGTCGGCATCTGCTCATCTCTTTCTCTGTCAGGAGTTCCAAAAGCGATTCCAAGGACGGGATCAGAGAATCCCAGCCTTGAGCCTCCATTTCTGGTGCTACGTCTGATCAGTACTGGCAGCTTGCTGCCCTTTGTGGTCCGGACAGGCCGGTAAATGCTACAGCTCTGGAGCAAACAGAGGGACAGAGAGAGGCTGAGCCCTGGTGAGGAGTCACTGTGTGGGACATCCATGTGCTCCTCTGAGAGGGAGTCAGATATCCGGTCATCCATGTGTTCCCTAGGGGAGCACAGAGAGCCATCTGTCATGGCTCTGGGCTGGACATACTCCTCTACTGTGTCCAGTGATGCTATAGAAGGGTCCGAGCCAGCTCGTCCAGCCAGTGTACGATCACTGTCTGATGCCCTTGAGGGGTCCTGGGAGCCAGGGACCAGAGTGGGAGAAGAGGGGAGTTCTTCAGAATCGGTCACACTTCTTCCATCTCCTTCTGCTCCTCCTCCACTATTTCCCATTTGTCCAGCCACAGTGCCTCCGATAACACTGGCTGAATATCTGGTGGATGGACCACATGAAAAACTCCGGGCCAACTTCCTGGGAATCTTACAAACAGCTTCGTAGTCAGAATCTGGCACCCGCCAGTAGGAACATCCTCGACACCTCCTGGGAGTTGTGTGCACACATCGATGTGACCCTGCTACTGTAACCTCTGACCCTGAACCTGCAGGCCACTGTGGGTGGTGATTGTGATGATGATGATGTTGGTTACAATCCAGACTGTCATCAGCCCAGGACTCATAAAGTGAGTAGACCAGGTCATCTTGGAGCAGAGCGCAGTACTTTGCGTGAGCAAGGCCAGAAATGTCCACCATTCCATCTCCAGATCTTTCCTCTCCTCCATCACCTGTTACACCTCCACCCTCGGAATTTGTCTTCCGGTAGAGCCCACCGATGCACTGTCTCAGCCGGTGTTTCTCGTGCAGGAGCCTCTGCAGTCTTTCAATGGACAGGGCCTCCACTCTCGCAATGACTGCATCAAAGCGGTACATGCGGTCCAACATGAAGGTGCACTTGGAGCATGCAAACTCCCCTCGGCCATCCCTGGTCAGCTCTTTGCCCAGAGCGTGGGACAAAAGCACCTGCAGTTTGAGTTTGGCGGTGGGGTGGAAGATCCATCGCCTCTGATTACCACAGAGCTCCCGGCCACAGATGCGACACGTCTCTTTCATTTTGTGATCCAGCATTCCACAGGTTTCTACTCGTCCTGGTGCAGGAAATATAAGAACTCAAGAATGGGAAATGTTTAGTTACTGTCCTAACTTCAGTTAGAGCTGGATGTGACGCAGAGGAAAACTTCACTGCATGTAAAGTCAAAAGTCAAAGTCAGGAAGTCAAAAGAGATGAGGTAGATGCAGAAAGGCAGCAGCCGTGTAGAGGAGGGTGAGACAGGTGGCTGTAAAGGTGAGTTTCTCCGCAGTTGACTATTTACTGCGACTGTCTCTTCAACATCTCCATCAGCTCTAGATCACAGGACCATTTCCTGGTGGCGCAGGTGCATCAGGAGTATGGCGCACAGACGTCTCCTTTTCTTTAAGCAGATGCTTGTTTTAATCCGTTTAAGTCCAACGTTGTTCTCCTCGCGTTTCTCTCCACCATAGCTTCGACTCTGTCACGGACACTCGACCGGAGCCGCAGCTTGCAGTCAGGGTCACTCGGCGTTCGGTATCATTCCTCTGCCATGCACACGAACAATGAGCAGTAACACGAGTTCAGCTACATTCCTCTAAGTTATCCTTAAGCTCTGTGTGTAGCACGAGCACCCTCGTTAATTTCAGAGGCGATGCAGACACACACACGCCCAACTCACGCAGAGACGGAGATCCACCGGTAGATCAGGCTGTGTCTGAATCAGACCTGCAGCGGCGGAATGTACCAATCTGAGAGACGGCGGGGGTGAGAGTAGCCGGTGCAGTCCCACACGGAGGAAATGTCTATGGTCTTTTGTCCCTCCTACTGATGACTAAAAATTTAAATAAATACACACTTACAAGTGTGTCATTCATCCAGCCTACATTAGCATAGTTAATGATTTAATGTAGAAGAACAAGGATTTATGTCTCCCCGGGATATTGTTACCTTCCTCATTCCCCGGTCCGCCTGACTGAACCGCAGTGAAGTGATGGCTACATTAGTGAAGCTCTATATGACTAGCAGGAAAACATTAATTTTATTATAATTATTATTAAGAAGTAAAGTTTGTAATAATTTAGTGGAAAAAACAAACGAAAGAAAAATACCAAAACTAGTTCTATTTGATACTCAGAAGTGTACAGTTTAAAAAGTGTTTTTAGATCCCAAAACCAGTAATCAAAATAATAAATATAACCCATTGTTGTTGTCAATTTGCCAAACTAAAGGATTCACTTCATAATTAATTAGATGGACATTTTGTTTAATATGAACCTTTTATTATTTTATGTACTGCATAAAGATAATTTTAAGAAATAAAGATATTGTGCTGCTATATAATATTTTGCAGTTTGCCATTCTGCCATGTAAGCAATAGTGAGACTGAATTAAATCAGTCAGGCTTTTATTCTGCCTTTGACTATGTAAGTTTGTCCCTGCAGTGACCTCAATTTTTGACCTCAATGTGGGTTCACCGCGGTGGAATAAATCCCCTGATGACTATTCATATGACTGAACAAAAACACATTCTTTGCTACAGGCTACAGTGTGATGGTACACATTAGTAACGGACAGAGTCACAGGAAGTCATATGACCATAAATCTGCTGTATGTCCCTGATTAGTTAATATTTGATGGTGAATTCATGGACTGATTTGGTTTTGAGTCAACTTTTCCTTCACATCAGTCAAACCAGGTTTAACTTGTAAGACAAAGGATTGTATTTAAAATATTAGATGGTGATATAAGACATTGCTTAAATGTAACAAATACATTCAGAAAAATAGTTGAAAAAAAAAAACATGCAGAACAACTGCAGGCCACATAAAAACTGTTACAAATGACCGTGGACTAAACTGGACAGGCCTGAACCTCACACAGTAACAGTGCAGCCATCTAGTGTGCAGTCCTCTGTACTACATACAGTATGACTGTATACCAAAATGAACCCCCCTGAGTTCCACCAGACTAATCCATGTTCTACCTCTAATCCTTCTCACAGTCACAGGGGAAGCTGGCGCTCCTTTCTTCATATCTGATAATACTGAACACTGCCACTCACAGATTCAATTCACAAAAAGCTCAATCTTTGCAGACTATTAATTCAGAAACAGAAGGATGAATACCATTAACAACAGGTCTGAACAAACTAAATGAAGAAGACAACCAGGAAAGACACTGTTGAAGTATAGTAGATGATATTTCCTCTTCTTTCACTTTTCATCTGATCTTAACAGCTGCAGTGCCTCAGGGTTTAATTAAAATCTGTGTTTTGTGTGTGTGTGTGTGTGTGTGTGTGTGTGTGTGGGGGGGTTGGTTTGGAACAGCGCCACCTAATATTAGTGTCAGTGTCATAGCTCACTGTAAGGCCAACCGGACTGATCAAGAGCATATCTGAAACCAGAGCCACCAAAGTGCTAAGCAGCAAAATGCCTACAAACCCACACACACACGCACACACAAACACACACACACGCGTATGAAAAAGGTCACCCCGCTGGAACACACTTAACACTCTCTCATGCGCACACACGAAATGTAAGACCCCAGTAACAGGGATCTTAACATGGACTCATTTGATCGCTGCAAACACATTCAGATGTAAACACTTTCTGTCACTGCTGTAAAGATGTTTTTTTACCATTGAACGTAAATTATAAAATGCCCTCAGACCTGCATTTTTTTTTGATAATGATTTGATTATTATTATTATTTAGTTCAATGTTTCTATATTAATAATCCACCATTTGGATTAGATACAAATAAAACTGGTGTGAAACACATACATCACAGTTAACGAGGATTCATTGTGCTTAATTGATGTGATGTCATTATGTAGCTTACACATTTTAATTGTTCGACAGCCAAAGTTTTTACTGTTGTTCACACTCATCCTCTGGATTAAAACAAATGTATTTTCCTTCTGAACTTGTAATACAGCGATATTTTGAGTGACTTAACACAAAACCTGACATCATAAAACTGTCCATCATTATTGTCAATACACATTTAAATCAGGACAGTGAGCCAGCCTGACACAACAAGTACATCCTCTGTTCAAAATGATTTACAGGTTTGAACAAACAGACGCAGCACAGACTCTGGGTTTGTGATAAACAGTAGGAAACATCAGACAGGTGAAACTGTGCTTATGTTTATGATTATTAATTTATGACAATGGCAGCAGCATATGCTGACTCAGGCTGTGTGGACACACTGCTCCTCAGACGCTCTCTGCAATGTGTCTAAAGGACAAATATGTCCTGAGGCATGTGAGCGCAGCTGAAGCCTGTTAATGTAACGAGACCAGGCTCTTACACTGATGAACTAAACCACTGCAGCTGTGCTATATACAAACAGTGTACTGTACTGGCTTTAGATGCACTTAACTACAGGGCTACAAACTACTGTTTTGCAAAAGGGAAATTAAATCTGAAGGAAGGTGTTTTATCAGACAGTCTCTTTACACCATATTGCTGGTGAAAGAAGGACATTTTACAGCTGTGTGTTCAGAATCTGACAGGATTAAATGAAATTCCTACCTGCATCTCCTGTTCAATACGCAGCCTCTCTCGACCAAGTTCTTCCTGATAGAACTGTTGAAAAAAAAGACAAATAAACAAATTAGACTAATTAAACATGACCTAATTATGAAACTCAAACCACCATATTATATTAATTTATAATAATTTAAAAATATCATATTAGATTATATACTGTATATCGTGTATGATTCAGTACAGGCCTTTACTTTTACCATCGTCAGTGTCTGTGTGTATTTATGTAATACACTTTAATAGCAGTTAAAATAAGGCTAATGATTGGTTGTCTCCGTCCCTGGAGCCTGTCTGACCAGTAAAACATGATCGTCCACATCAGTGCATTAATAATAGCCGTGCAGGGAGCAGTGTTTACATGCTGCACTCATGCTTTCATATACAGGAGTAGAAATAGATGAACCAGCGTGGGTTGCTTTAATTCATACCTCCACATCCTTGTCCTTCTGCAGCACAGATGACGTCAGGTCCTCAATTTGCCCCTCCAGCTCCCCTACTTTGAGTGTGAGGGTCATCTTCTGTCCACTCAGTTCAGTGATTAGAGCCTCTTTGGAGTGAAGCTCATTGGTCAGCTCCTCTATTAACCTGAATAGAGACAAAGAGAAGTCAGTCACTGCAACCAGGAGATTTAGTTTGGAAAAGTGGGAGATTTTTAGTCTGGCACCTGTCTTTGTTAATGCTGGATGGAGACAGGATGCTCAACGGCCTCTCATCCTCTGGGATGTCCTCCATGGGGGCATCTAAGGAGAGGAGGGAGGCCTGGGAGTGTGATCCAGCCACGCTGCGAGCAAGCTGGGCCTCCTGTGAACACAGTGTGCGTGACGGTTACAGACCTGAGAACCATACAGTTTGTTGTCTGGAAGCTTTGTAATACTTCACACATCTGGAAAAGGGAGACCGACCTCCTGCAGGAGCTGGATCTTAGTCTCGAGGACCTGCTGCATGTGGTCGATTTCCTGCTGTCTCGCCTGACAGCGTCTCTGCAGCTCTGCTTCATTGTGATTGGTCAAGCTCTCTGCTGTTGTGCTGTCAGAAACAACAGTGCTAAGAATTAACACAAATGTTACAAACGTTTGCTTATTGTTTTTTTAGTAGTTCCTGGATCAGGTTTGTTATCTGGAGTTGCTAGTTTGAATCCCATGATCGGATTATTCACAGCCAAATCTATATTCATCATTAAAGGTCATTGAAATAACCCAGCATCACTGGGGAAAAAAGACTTCATGTTTTCACATGGCTTAAACTGTTTACTTACCAGATTACACTAAATTGGAATTATTGTGTGAACCATTATGGATTAATATTGTTGTTGTCTTCACCTACAACCATTTTATTCATGGCTGATGATGTGTTTCTTTAACTTCTCTGGACTCCAACTGTGCTGAGCATCTGTCTATATCACTTAGGCACTCAACAACAGTATCCCAGAATTCCACCTCCCAGAATGGCACACGCCACACTGTCGCCTATGAGTTCTGTTCTGGGGCCTGTCTTCATACGTTTTTAACTCAGTCCGCCACATGCTACAGCTCAAATAACTGAGATATTTTCAACCGGTCTGAGTAATGCAAACGTCTGTGTCATGGAGTCAAGTGTTCTTTATTTGAAGTGGACCAACTTTTAACTTACAAGACATTATTCCAGGCAACCAAAAGTGACAACTGTGCAGTTCAGTCCATTATAATCTTGTCCTTAATATGATTGTCATTAAGAAGACATCATGTTGTATTAATACATACAGGGCTTTGTCCAGAAGCTGCTGTTTCTCCTGGAGCTCCTGCTTCAAGCTCTCTACTTCAACCTTCAGCTCAATGTTCTGGAACACATAAGGAACAGGGATATCTGTCAAACTTCAGTTATCATCATCATCATCATCATCCTTTTATCATCATCATCATCATCATCACCTTTTTATCATCATCAACATCATCATCATCACCTTTTTATCAACATCATCATCTTTTTATCAACATCATCATCATCATTATTATCATCATCATCATTATCACCAACATTATCCTTTATTTATTCAGTCCAACCATCCTTTACAAAGAAAAGAAAAAGAAATAATAATTTTCTCCCATAATAATGGTCCTGTATGTGCGGCTCAACCTTAAATATTTTAGGCACATTACTAAGTTTACGATGTTATTAAAGCATTAGTTATTTGTTAAACCATTGAACATCCTCATGTGAATTAACTCCCCCCACCCCCCACCCCCCCATAGAAAAGTTGGACAGGACTGATTCACGTGTTCATTGGTCAGAATCACATCCTCTCATTTATCACATCCTCAGCACAGACTTGTCATGTTCCCAGCTTCCTCAGTCATAGTTTAGCGTCCCTTCTGTGTGACTCTCCCTCTCTCTCTCTCTCTCTCTCTCTCTCTGGTGGCTGCTGTGTATCATTAGCTGACGCTGTTGTCACGACTGGTCTATTTAGAGCTGGAGAATTCAGAGCAGCTCAGATACTCACC